GATATCTATAGAACATTCCATCCAACTACCTCAGAATATTCATTCTTCTCATCAGCACGTGGATCATTCTCCAGGATAGATCACATATTAGGACACAAATCAAGTCTCACCAAATTCAAAAAAATTGGAATTATCCCGTGTATTTTCTCAGACCATAATGGATTAAAACTAGAAATCAATAATAAACAAAATTCTGGAAAGTATACAAACACATGGAAATTAAACAGCATTCTACTTAATGATACATGGGTCCAAGAAGAAATCAAGCAGGAAATAAAAAAATTTATTGAAACTAATGAAAATAATGATACATCATACCAAAACTTGTGGGATACAGCAAAGGCAGTACTTAGGGGGAAATTTATTGCATTAAATGCCTACCTCAGAAAAATGGAAAGTTGGCAAGTGAACAATCTAATAATGCGCCTTAAAGAACTAGAAAAACAAGAACAATCCAAACCTAATGTTAGCAGAAGGAAAGAAATCATCAAGATCAGAGCAGAACTTAATGAAATTGAATCCCAAAAAACAATACAAAAGATCAACGAATCAAAAAGTTGGTTTTTTGAAAAGATAAATAAAATCGACAAACCACTTGCATGGCTAACAAAAAAAAGAAGAGAGAAGATTCAAATAACAAAAATTAGAAATGAAAAAGGTGATATTACAACTGACCCAAATGAAATACAAGGAATCATCCGAGACTACTATAAACAGCTATATGCCAACAAGTTCGAAAATCTGGAGGAAATGGATAAATTTCTGGACTCACACAAGCTTCCAAAATTAAACCAAGAAGATGTAGAAAATCTGAACAGATCATTAACAATAAAGGAGATTGAAGCTGTTATCAGAAAGCTCCCAACAAAGAAAAGCCCAGGATCAGATGGATTCACAGCAGAATTTTACCAAACATTCAAAGAGGAATTGACACCGATTCTTTACAAACTATTCCAAAAGATTGATACAGATGTAAATCTCCTAAACTTATTCTATGAAGCAAACATCATCCTGATACCAAAACCAGGTATAGATATAACCAAAAAAGAAAACTACAGGCCGATATCTTTGATGAATATAGATGCAAGAATCCCCACTAAAATACTAGCAAACAGAATACAACAACACATATGTAAAATTATTCACCACGATCAAGTGGGATTCATCCGGGGATGCAAGGTTGGTGCAACATACTGAAATCAATAAATGTGATACACCATATTAATAAAATCATACACAAGGACCATATGATCATCTCTAAAAACGGACACAGTGATCAACGGAATAGAATAGAGAATCCAGAAATCAACCCACACACCTACAGCCGTCTGATCTTTGACAAAGGCACCAAGCCTATACACTGGGGAAGATATTGCCTCTTTAGCAAATGTTGCTGGAAGAAGTGGATATCCATCTGCAGGAGAATGAAACTAGACCCATACCTTTCACCATACACTAAAGAATTAAATATACACCCTGAAACAATAAAACTTCTTAAAGAAAACATAGGAGAGACACTTCAGGAAATAGGTCTGGACACAGACTTCATGAATAAGACCCCAAAAGCACGGGCAACCAAAGGAAAAATAAACAAATGGGATTATATCAAACTAAAGAGCTTCTGCACAGCAAAAGAAACAATTAACAGAGTTAAAAGAAAACCAACAGAATGGGAGAAAATATTTGCAAAATATACATCTGACAAAGGATTAATATCCAGAATATACAAGGAACTCAAACAACTTTACAAGAAAAAAACAAGCAACCCAATTAAAAAATGGGCAAAAGAGCTAAGTAGGCAATTCTCTAAGGAAGATATACAAATGGACAACAGACATATGAAAAAATGCTCAACATCACTCAGCATCCGGGAAATGCAAATCAAAACTACACTGAGATACCATCACACCCCAGTTAGGATGGCTAAAATCCAAAAGACGCGGGGCCGGCCCGGTGGCGCACTTGGTAGAGTGCGGCGCTTGGGAGCACGGTGG